GCGTGTAGGGCACCACATTTAAAAGAACTTCGCATGGCGTGTCGGGCACCACATTTAAAAGAACTGCGCATGGCGTGTTGGGCACCACATTTAAAAGAACTTCGCATGGCGTGTCGGGCACCACATTTAAAAGAACTTCACATCGCGTGTCGGGCACCACATTTAAAAGAACTTCGCATGGCGTGTAGGGCACCACATTTAAAAGAACTTCGCATGGCGTGTCGGGCACCACATTTAAAAGAACCCATATGCCGTGTTGGGCATTACATTTAAGAGAACCTCATATGCCGTGTTGGGCACCACATTTAAAAGAACCTCATTTGCCGTGTTGGGCACCACATTTAAAAGAACCTCATATGCCGTCTTGAGCACCACATTTAAAAGAACCCCATATGCCATGTTGGGCAACACATTTAAAAGAACCCTATTTGCCGTGTTGGGCACCACATATAAAAGAACTTCGCATGGCATGTCGGGGACCACATTTAAAAGAACTTCACATCGCGTGTCGGGCACCACATTTAAAAGAACTTCGCATGGCGTGTAGGGCACCACATTTAAAAGAACCTCATATGCCGTGTGGGGCACCACATTTAAAAGAACCCGATATGTCGTGTTGGGCACCACATTTAAAAGAACCTCATGTCGTGTTGGGCACCACATATAAAAGAACCTCATATGCCGTGTTGGGCACCACATTTAAAAGAACCTCATATGCCGTGTTGGGCACCACAATTAAAAGAACCTGATATGCTATGTTTGGGACAACATGTAAAAGAACTTCGACTGGCGTGTCGGGCACCATATTTAAAAGAACCCCATATGTCATGTTGGGCACCACATTTAAAAGAACCTCATATGCCAAGTTGGGCACCACATTTAAAAGAACCCATATGCCGTGTTGGTCACAACATTTAAAAGAACCTCATATGCCGAGTTTGGCACCACATTTAAAAGAACTTCGCATGGCGTGTCGGGCACCACATTTAAAAGAACTTCGCATGGCGTGTCGTGCACCACATTTAAAAGAACTTCGCATGGCGTGTCGGGCCGCACATTTAAAAGAACCCCATATGCCGTGTTGGGCACCACATTTAAAAGAACCCAATGCCATATTGGGCACCACATTTAAAAGAACCTCGTATGCCCTGTTGGGCACCACATTTAAAAGAAACTCATATGCCATGTTGTGCACCACATTTAAAAGAACCTCATATGCCGTGTTGGGCACCACATTTAAAAGAACCCCATATACCATGTTGGGCATCACATTTAAAAGAACCCCATATGCCGTGTCGGGGACCACATTTAAAAGAACGTCACATCGCGTGTCGGGCACCACATTTAAAAGAACTTCACATGGCGTGTCGGGCACCACATTTAAAAGAACTTCGCATGGCGTGTCGGGCACCACATTTCAAAGAACTTCGCATGGGGTGTCGGGCACCACATTTATAAGATTTTCGCATGGCGTGTCAGGCACCACATTTAAAAGAACTTGGCAGGGCGTGTCGGGCACCACATTTAAAAGAACTTCGCATGGCGAGTTGGGCACCACATTTAAAAG